CTCTTTAATTGTAAAGAAACATTAGAAAAATTTTAAACCTGCAGGAAGTTTGAAAGAATACTATCACATACCTGTTTTTAAAGCTGTTTCAAATAGATTAATTATTTTATATAAAGCTGAAAGTTTTAAATTATGCCAGTACTTTCGCATTTAGAAATTTTATTCTTCACGACTCAATTTTTCCCTTTTAGCTGCTAAATTTAGTGTTTGTTATATGCTAGAAACCGATTATGTACATTTTTTTTTTGAAATCTTTTCAATGTTTTCTGAATAATCTTTCTTTATGATGGCAAAACATTGGAAATCAAATAACCTGTTTCAATGTAATTTTTTATCATCAAAATGACATTTTAATAAATGCTATTTTTAGAGTGGTATTTCTATTTTACAAATACACATAGAGTCTTCTACTTTAAATATATCAACATTTGGGATTTTAATGTAAATGCTGAAATTAAGGATCAACATCCCTTTGATTTAGCTCTCTTTTCTGAGTTGAAATGAAGGAAGGTAATAGACTTTTCTCAAACATTTTCTAGCTTTTGGCTTAAAAATCCTAACATTTATCCAAACTTTTAAAAACTGTTTACCTATTTCTCGATTGCTCAATATTTAGTCTGTGTTTTTTATTTTTTATATGTAAATATAAGAGTGTTTACCTTACTGTAGAAATATCTAAGCCCAACAACATGTTTATAAAAAGTTTTAAGAAACCTGGGAGAAAGTATATCAAGTGTGCAAAAGAGGGAAACAATTATATATTTATAGGGAAAAGACTAAAAGGAAATATAAATACCAAGCTGTTAATAAAGTAGGACAGTATGGGCATATTTGTCTACACGGTGGTTGCCTTCTCTGCCTATGCAAACTCCAGCTTGTCCGCCAGCAGCATTGCATCAGCTCTGTGCTGGTGATCTTTCCGCCCTCCTGGGGCAGCTGTCTGTCTTCCCTCCCTGCTGCCCAGGCAGTAGGCGCTGGTGCCTTAGAGAGGAGAATGCCCTTCTCTGCATTCCTCTTCGTTTTCAGTCCAGCGTAGGTGAACTATCGTGTCCTGTTGAAATCCTATCGGATAGATAGAACTTCTGCCTCCACTCACTTTGTTTTTGTTTTTGTTTTTTTCTTTTCTTTCCTTTCCTTCTTACTGTTCTGAGCTTTCTATTTGAATACACACACACACACACACTCTCTCATGAATTTTAACTGTATATAAGATCTTGGGACTTATATGGCAAAATGCTTAAACTTATTTCCCCCATTCAGTTTCCTCTGTGGTCTGCTGTGACACTTTAAAAAAACAAACAAATTTGGTTTCCCTTTCTTTCTCCTTCTTGTTTTCCAGTGCTTTTATTCCAGTGCTTGGAAAAGTATCCCTTTACTCCCCACCCTTGGTTGGTTTACCAGGCCAAGTATTTCACGATTGTTCCATGAAGTTCTTAATCCTAAAAATATGAGGTTATGATCATGAGCCCTGAAACCAGATTCCTTCTTCTACTATTTAATAATTGTGTACAAAAAAAAAAAAGTGTAAAACGTTGCCTTAGTTTCCACATCTGTAGGATGGGATAGTAATATGATTTAACTCATAGGGTTGTTAATAGGGTGACATTGGCTAATACAGATCAGATGTATTAGTAAGCTTATAATAAAGTTTTAGTTAATTATTATTTGTTGCTTACAGCTCTCTGAACACACACACACACACACACACACATACACACAGATTTTCGATATGTATTTTCTAACCCCTATTTAATTGTAAACTTTTCTCCCCAGCTTTACTGAGTTATAATATGCAAATAAATGCTGTTTATATTTAGGGTATACAGCGTGATGATTTAATATATGTAATGATATATATGTATTCATATATATCATTATGAAATGATTACCACAATCAAGCTCGTTAACACATCAATGCCATATGTGTGTGTGTATGATAAGTACACTTAAAGATCTCTTCTCTTAGAAAATTTCAAGTATGTAATACAGTGTTATTAAATGTAGTCACCATGCTATACATTAGATCCACAGAACTTATTCGTCTCATAACTAAATGTTTGTATCTATTGACCAGCATCTCCTCATTCCTTCACGCACCAGCTCCCGGCAAGTACCATTTTACTTTCTGGTTCTTTAAGTTAGACTTTTTTAGATCCCATTTGTCTTTCTGTGTCTGGCTTATTTCACTTAGCAAAATGTCCCCCAGGTTTATCCAGTCACAAATGGCAGGATTTCCTCCCCCCGCTTTTTGTTTTTTAATGGCTGAATAATACCACATTATGTATGTATACCACATTTTGTTTATCTGTTCATCTGTCAATAAACACTTAGGTTGTTTTCATGTCTTGGCTGTTGTGAATAATACTGCAGTGAACATAGGAGTTCATTATCTCTTTGAGACAGCGATTTCTTTTCTTTTGGATATGTACCCAGAAGTGGGATTGCTGAATCATATGATAGTTCTGTTTTCAATTTTTTTGAAGAACTCTTTATGTTTTCCATAATGGTTGTACCGATGTACATTCCCATCAACAGCATACAAAGATTCTCTTTTCTCCACATCCTTGTATTTGTTATCTCTTGCCTTTTTCGATAATAGCCATCCTAACAGATGTGAGGTGCTATCTCATTGTGGTTTTGACTTGCATTTTCTTGATAATTAGTGATATTGAGCACCTTTTTGCATACCTGTTGGCCATATGTATGTCTTATTTGGAATACTGTCTGTTCAGGTCTTTTGCTCATTTTAAAATTATTACTATTATTATTATTATTTGCTGTTTAGTTATATGATTAATTGTAAACTCCTTAATAGCAAGGATCATGCCAGTAGTAAGTCCTCAGTGAAGCTGCTCCATAATTTTGGCATAATATAGACCATTAGCTCTGATTTCTGGGAGTAGAACTTTAAGATGTCATTTGAATGAGCTAAGGGCTTAGGAATCAGCTCTTTTAGGACAATCGTAAAATGCTTTAATGAGGAGATAAAAATCACTGACATAAGCTTGTTATTTATACGTTGGATCAAGATAACCTCGTGTTGTTTATGGGAATAAAAACTTTTCCTGACTGAATGAATAAGACTTTGGAGAGAGGAATCTTTGAAAAATATAAAGGCTTATTTTCAAGTAAGTTCTAAGTAAATAGAAATAATAATCTGATCATAATGAGAGGAATATTAAATGTACTCATGCTCAGACTTGAAAGTAAAAAATCTACTTTTTAAAGAATTATGCCCTGTATCTGTTTGAGGAAGTTTCCTATTAATCCTAGTTTCCTGAGAGTTTTTACATTACTAGATGTTGAGGTTTTGTCAAAAGCTTTTTCCATATTTATTGTAAAGATCATATGAGTTTTCTGCTTTATTCTGTTAATATGGTAAATTATAACAATTGATTTTCAGATGTTAAACTAACCTTGCACTTCTGGGGTAAACTCTTTTCTTTCACATCTTATTATCGTTTTTAGATATTATTGAGATTCAGTTTTTAATATATTATGAAGAATTTTTGAATTTATATTCTTTAGGGTCTTTTTCTGTAATTTTTTGGTGTGTAATGTCTGTCGCCTCCTTCTCCCTTCTCCACTCTGTCCCAGAAGGCAGCAGCTAGATGTGGTGTTCCCTCCCCAGCCTCCCCTATATTTCTTTCTGTCTGGCACAACTGAACAGCTTCCATGAAAAAACTTCTACATACTGATATTTGGAGGTTTTTCAATGAAAAGGCGACAGGGTATATATCTGGCCATTGTATGGAGAAGGCCATGAATCAACAAACCTTCCACCCATACATATGAGCATTTGTTCGGCGCCTCACTGTTAAATCTGAAGGAGCACCCAGGGATCACCAGATATGTGAAGACAGCTTCAAAACTGAAAGAGACAGACCTAAAACAATGAATCAGCCGACGCACAATGAATCAAACGAAGCAAGAGACAGAAGAAAACTAATGAGCAAAATGGAAGAAAGAATCAGAAGAGAAAAAGATACTATGTCCTTTAAAAATAAAGAGTGGAGAACAACAAAGAGTTTTTGGAAATTTAAAAATATCATTGTTGGAAAATAATTCCATGGACAGATTGGAAGATGAAATTGAAGAGTACTAGGGCAAAGGACTGTCATTTTTTAAATCTAACTTTAGCTAAATTTTAAATCTGATTATTAGGCATTTATTTTTACTTACACACATTTACTGTGTTGTTAAATTAAGTCTAAGGAAAAATATGCAGTAAGCGTGGATTTTTTTTGTTATTGAGGAAGAGGACGGGCTTGGTTTCACATTGGCTGTTTATGAACAAGTAATGCCTGATAGGGATTTTGGAGCACTGGGTGTGTGTTGGTGTTCTGGGCAGACATTAGTGTAATATGCATTGTTTAAGGCCTTTCTTAAAATCTTTAAGTAGCAATTACGTATGTTTTTTTTTGTGGGTGGAAAGAAGTTTGCTGCCACTGTCAAATCTAGCTTGATCACAAAATGTAGTATTGCTCTAATCACTTCGCTTCTCTGATTCTCATTTTCCTCATCTGTAATATAGAAATGGTAATAATAGTACCTGTCTGATGGGGCCGCGATGATATTGAAAGGAGATAAGACTGACCAATCACCTGGTACAGTGAGCAGCATATTCCAAGTGCTCATTGAAAGGAGTTATAACCATCAAGCAGATGGACTAGAATGTAGATGGTCAAGAAAAAGATGTATTTAAAGAGTAACAAATACAACATTGGCGATATTGTGGCCCAGGCTGTCCCGGGCTAATGATTTCACTCAACAGACTGAAAGCTGCTTGTTGCCAGTCTTTCAACACTCCCCAGTGCCCATCATTGTGCCTGGCACTAAGACACTGCAGGGAACGGGTGCCTCAGTTGTAACTCGTTTGTGGTGCTGCACCCTGGCTCCGGTATCAGTCCTCTGGTTATTAAAGACTCAGTGTGTTAGTGTGTTTATTAAGTATATAGGATGACGTTTTCATAAACTCAAATGTGGCATTTCAATTACAGGCGTCCATTAGCAAGGCAAAAGTAACAGAACCATGGCTCAGTTTCCAACACCTTTTGGTGGTAAGTTTTCACAGATTTCCCTTTTATAATGTACTTTGAAACCATATTTTTAATAACAATATTATAGCAAATTTTAAAACATACTCATAAGTAGAGAGAATAGTATATTTTAACCTAACTCATATGTACACATCATATAGTTTCAGTGGTTATCAACTCAAGGCCAGTATTGTTTCATCTGGATTCTTTTGAAGCAACTCTCAGGCTTCGTGTCATTTCATTCACAAATATTTTAGTATGTGTTTCTAAAAGATAACACTTTTAAAGATATAATACCATCACGCCTACAAAATTTATAGTAATTCTTTAATATCAACTGTCAAGTCAGTGTTAAAATTTCCCTAATTTAGCCTTTTTGTTGTTGTTGTTATGGTTGATTTGTTCAAGTCAAGATACATTCATCGTAGTTAGTTTATGTGTCTCCTGAGTCTTTTCATTACAGAACTCCTCTTCCATCCCTGTTTTCTTTCTTTGCTATTTATTTGTCAAGTGACTGGGTCATTTGTTTTATACTTTTTTTTTCAAGCCTGTATTTGAAGCATGACATTTTTATTTGTTTTACTTTAGTTATGCTGAAAACATATCAATCTGCATAAAATGTGTTTTGTAGATAATTTTTCCTAACATTATTAGAAAGTATTAATTAATTATTTTTGCTTGCTGGCTAAATATTTATTTTTCAAAAGAGAGTGTGACACATTAACGAATTACTCTTGGTAGCTGTCTTGAATAATTTGTTTGCCTTTTCTTTGGATTGTAGGTAGCCTGGATATCTGGGCCATAACTGTAGAGGAGAGAGCGAAGCATGATCAGCAGTTCCATAGTTTAAAGCCAATATCTGGATTTATTACTGGTAATTAGAGTCGGTATTTTTACATTTTTACTTTTTAGTAATGCATATATCTGTAGAGAGTCTATTATGCAAAGCTAACGTGGGCACACGTGATTGAGGAGAGACATTTACCCATTTGCCATAGCTTGAGACTGTATTTTTATAATTGCTTTTCCGATAATGCCTTAGAGCCTTGTTTGCAGTCAGTGGATGTCAAGCTACTTGTTTGCAGCATATCACTGATGGGAATGGGTTAAGATCAAAGGGTCACATTTTTTAAGTAATGTAGCACTGGACTGTGGTCCTTGAGCTAAAATATTTGCTTACTTCTGATCTTGAACTGGTTTGGGAAACAAATAAATTAACAGATTTTGAACATAAAAAAAAAAAAAGAATTCTCTTATTGTTGTGTCCCTAAAGTTCCTTTTGTACTTTGCCTTTTCTATTATCTTTCCTGTCTGATTAGTCTTTAGGAATTGGCTTTAGAAAAAATGAGATCTGGATTTCCTGGAGACTTGTTTTTGTATGCGTTTTTGTCTCATAGCTCTCTTTAATTTATTAATTCTTGATCATTGATGTGTGATTCTTTTAATCATTGTTGCTTATTCTCCATAAATATATTCGAAGTACTCAAAATTTGAAGTGTAGATATTGAGAATGGTAAAGACCTTTTTTTATAAAGTAGAAGTACAGGTCATCACTTGCTTGAGGATCCCAGTAGATATGCTTTGTCATGTGTGTAGCTGTGACCAACTAGTTAATAGCAGATTAATTAAAGTGGACAGTCTTCTACAAATGGTAGGCCCTTTTTGAGATGATTTTTTAAAGAGTTAAGTTCTAAAGTCAGTGCTGATGAATTCATTTAATGTTGCTTATAGACTTACCATTGGTTTTTATCATGTATTTAATTTACAGGATTACCAGCTTCTTTCTTAATTTTGCAATTTTTTTGTAGGAAGATTTCTGTTGTTCTTCAGCTGTTCTTTACTTCTGAAACTTTTTCCACTTAATTTACAGGTGATCAAGCTAGAAACTTTTTTTTTCAATCTGGGTTACCTCAACCTGTTTTAGCACAGATATGGTAAGTTGGAACTTCACGTAAGCAAAAGGTAAAATAAAATATTCCAGTGGTATAATTTGTTAAGCTATAGAAGGAGAATTTATATCTCTAGTCTGAAATACTCTACTACTTCCTACCAGAGGAATGTTTCTGTAAACTATCTTTCTAACGCAGAACTTAAAAAATAGTGGTGATATTTACAAGGTAACACTGTCAGAGAGTTGACTTTCCATTTAAGAAATCTACATTTCGATTTTTTCTCACTGTTTTAGCTTCATCCACATCACCCATATTCATCTGAATGTCTCACATTTCTTGCTTTATAATGTAATGATTCTGTATCTTTCACTGAATAAATGGTAAAGAAAATATTTGAGAGTTAGTGGTGAAATAACCGGTAAAATAGTGAAATAACCAGTATTTATTTCAATGTTGTACAAGGTGAGTGCGTAATATATGTTGTTAAATTCCTTTATTCATTGTAAGCATTGAGTCTTTTGAAACCACAGGAAAGAAAAAGAGTGAATAGCAAATACAGTTTCGTGTTCTAGGTTCATGACTGGGGAGTTATGCTTAATTCTGTTGTCAAGAAGCCACATTTCCCCTCAGTGTTTGGTTTTTACAGTTAGTTAATTCTTCATTTTCCTGATTTATTAGTGTAGTAGAGGCAGCTTGCTGTAGTAGAAAGAGCACATGATTTGTAGTCAGTTACACACCTGGGTTTGAATCCCAGCTGCTCTGCTTTCTGTTTTTATGATTTGGAATATGTATTTATGCTTTCTAACTAAGCTCAGTTTTCTAATCTAGAAAATGAGAAGATTTATATTTTCCTTACAAGGCTAAGAGGATTATGAGAGATACTGTATATAAAGGGCTTAGTGTGGGGCCTGGCACATAATAGGTCCTCAAAACAGAATCTAGGAACATAGCCTCTGTTGGCATCGGGGACTGGGTATTCCACATAACTAAGTTGTCCAACTGATTGCTCATTCTCTTAAATGATCAACCTTCTTTATTTATGGTTTTATGGAAATTAATAAAGGTTGACATAGTTCCTCGTTGCCTTTAAGAAGACTCTACAGAACATAGTCTAAGCTTGATTATGAGTGTTGATGTTTACTTTGATGTTTACTTTATTAGCTTTGATGTTTACTCACTTTGTAACCCTGAGCAATACTTGACCTCTTTAAATTTAAGTTTTAAAATTCATAAGTCATAACAGCTGACCTAATAAAATAGTTTTCCTTTTCTGTCTCTCATGCTGATCTTGTGTTCTCATGTGGTTTTTCTGGTAGGGTCCCAGGGAAGGCCCATGTCCCTTTTGGTAGAGAGAAGAATGGGTTTGAGTCTAATGTTTCAGTCAGTCCCTGTGTCAGTCATCTGGGCAAGAAGAAAATCTTGGTTGAGAATTAGGAACTATTTCTAGTCTCTCTCTCTGGGCCCTACTTTCTTTGTTCTGGAGGTTGGTTCAAATATGTGAGTGATATGGAGTACTGGGGAGTATGTGCTGGAAACCTTTATAATTTTTGTTCCACATAGAACCTATATTTCAGTTAACTAATTTGTGACTTTTGAGCTGTAACTTGCTAATACTTTGAGGCTACCTACCTATCCAGTCTGGTTTCCAATTAAGAATATAAGAAAACTTGAATTCTCAGAGGATGAAGTCAAGTCAGTGTATGTAATGCCAAATCGTAACAGTGGCCAAAGATGGTACACCTTCCTAGAAATCATTTCACTAAGAAGGAACTGGAAGGAAGCTGGCAAATATCCTGTATCCTTTTGGCAACTCAAATGCTTACAGTTGTTCCAGTCTGGCCTGGTCTGGAGAGGGAGGAGAAGGAAGCAGGGGAATGGACAAGGGTCTTGAGGGTCCAGGAAAGAAAACGAGGTTGAGTGAGGGCTTTGGAATCAGAGGCCGTAGGGGCCATAGGAACGGAGAGTAGAGGCTTCCAAGGAAAGAAATGAGGGGAAGGGAAGGAGCACCACCTGGAAATGGGCTCTGAGAGAGGAGGAGGGAGACAGAGACATAAGAACAAAAATTAGAACAGCATGGCGATCTGGGGCATTGGGACAGGGCAAACAGCTATATAACATACTATTTTAAGATACCTCTGAGTGGCCTTCAGCCCCCAACAAAGTCAATGTGCCAAACTCATTTACCAAAAAAAGTCATCCCGGACACACGTTCCCCTCTTCTCCATTTCTCATTTCTGAGTCTTCACTTCAGTTCACAGCACTGAGCATCTGTCTAGCTGCTGGAGGCCACGCTTGAGTCCTCTCTTTTCCTTACCTTACATACCCAATCCATCAGCATTTACTTTCGACTCCATTTTCCGACTTTATTCCCAATCCGGCCACTTCTTTCTGCCTCCACTGCCATCTGTCCTAATCTGTCATCTCAGCTGAACATCCTGACTGGAGTCTCTCACACACTTGGTCTCCAGATGGTATCCAAACAATCTTTTAGAAAAGTAAATCCATTTAAAACTCCACTGAAAAGAAAATCCAAAGTCGGTACCAGGGCCTCAAGGCCCAGTATAATCCGACTCTTGCTTAGTCGTTGCATTCATTTCACTGATCTTCCTGTTCGTTAAGGCTTCTTGCCTTAAGGCCGTTGCTTACGATATTTCTTCTTTCTGTAATGCAGTTCTTCCAGATTCTCACATAGCTGGCTGGCTCATCACCCTTCAGGTTTCAGTTCCTTTGTCACCTCCCCAGAGCAGTGCTTCTTGGCTTCTAGCGTGTGGTAGTTCCCTCTACACGCCTGCTCCTACCCGCTGACTTTTCTTTCCCCTTAACCCTGTTTTATTTCTTAATCTTACTTATAGTGTGGAATAATTTGATTAGTTTTCTTGTTTAGTGTCTGCTTGCACTAACATAATCTCTGCGAGGGCAGGAACCTTGTCTGTCTTTTTCACAGTTGTAATCCCAATTCCTAGATAGTGCCTAAACCTTTTGAAGAGGTGTCACTCTTTAAAAAATGTTTATTGGATGACTAGACAAATGAATGAATGAAGACTAGGCTGGATGAATCTGAACAGTGAGAGGAGAGCAGCCTGTGACAGCGTTTGTGGCAGAGATGGGCTCCGAAAGGAATCTACAGGATTCAGCTCTGGGGCAGTGAATGAGAGGGTCGAGGGGAGGCTGGTCTTTTCCTTTAATTCTATGATACGAACAAAATAGTTTCAGAATTACTGCACTGGAATCCACTACAACGGCCAAACCCATTCAGCAGAGTTCAAGATTGCTTCCTAGTTCTTTTGTTTATAGATTGAGGATATGTGAAATGCTGTGTTTAGAAATTACTTAGGTTAGTTTTTTTTCCCCTCTTTCTATGTGGACATGTTATTTATTTAAAATGCTACTGGGTTGATTTGTTTTTGTTTTACTCAGTTTAGGGATCTCCTCTCATCTTCGTGGACTTTATTTTTTGAATATATAATACATTAACAAATTTTCAAAAGCCAAAACTGTACAAAAAAAGTGAACTCAGAGAAGTATTACTCCCTCTCCTAACCCTTTATTCCTGTTCTCACCCATTTTATTAGTTTCTTATTATCCTTCCTCTGTTTATTTTTATGGAAAAAATTAGTTCCATAATTACGTGTTCTTATTTATATTATTTCCTCTTCCTTCTTACTTTGAAGATAACCTCCTATAAATCTTCCTTCGTTTTTTGCTTTTCTCATTTAACAACATATCTCGGAAATCGCTGAGATCATTCCATAGAGATCTTTCTCATTTTCTTTTTACAGTTACATAGTACTCATTGTGGAAGATATACCATAGTTTATTCAATCTCTTGTGTATGTGCTTTTAGGTTATTTCTAATATTTTGCAATTATAAATAATGTAGCAATGAATGAGCTAAACCAATGTATTTGTTTATTGTCGGAGGTCTGTCTTCTGGGTAAATTCCTAGGAGTGGAATTGTTGGTATGGATGCAACGAGTCAATGCGAATGCAGTTCTGTAGATGTTGCCCAATTCCCCTCCATTTAGAGTTGAAATACTTTTCCCCACTGACAGTGTATAAGAGCGACATATGGTTTATTTAAAATTACCCTTAGTGTTCAGCGTACCTGTGGCTTCGTTCTCATCTCAATCCAGCCTGTTGTTTTATACAGATTTTAATTTCAGGCTGAACATTGTATGTAAGACCAGTTTGTCATAAATAGCAATTGTTTGATTTACCCTTTTTTTTAAGTGCTCTTTTTTTTTTTTTTAGCGTATATAAGGGTTTTTTTTGTTGTTTGTTTTGTTTGTTTGTTTGTTTGTTTTTACCTTGAAAGTTTTGTGAACCTAATTTCAGGATTCTCAGACTTTTAGTTAGTCCTTGGGGGGTGATTAGGAACAATTGAGAAATAACTATAAATGAGAGATAAAATGGATGGCAGAGCTGATGGGGTGGGTAGAGAGAGCTGAGCTTTGCAGTAACTACTATATTTCCTGACAGTCCTTTGAGTTTTTACTACCAAGAACTCCCAACAGTCATGTTTTATTAGTGGAGAAAAAAATTTTTAGGCACGATCATACAAAATTCTCAAGAAATATTGGTAGGTGGTTTAAAGTGATGTACCCGAACCTATGGATTCCATGATTTCTTTCCTCTCCCATTCCGGTGCTTCACTGGAAAGGTTTTAGAAACTCAATTTTTCTAATTAAGCTATTACTAGAAAGTCTTTTCTTCCCTCACCCACTTATTATTCCACATTGGATATCTCTGTGTCCAACTAGAAAACATGTTTGCGGGGGGGGACAGTGGTATGGGGAAGAGGGTGATTTGCCCGTTTTTACACTTTTCTTAAAGTATACATGTTGATGTCGATTGATGGGAACTTTTACTTTTTTCCTGAAAACTGTTTGAAATAGCTGAATATTTTTTACAAATACTTAGCAAAAGTGGAGTTCGTCATTTTATTTTACTTAACTTCCTTTATAAAACCTGAAAGATAGTATAGAAATAAAACAACCAGAGATCAGTCTCAATTATGAATATAGCTGCAAAAAATCAAAATAAACTCTTAACAAATAGAATTTCATAATGTATAAAAAGTATGACCAACTTGAGTTTATGCCAGGGGTGCAAAGTTGATTCAGAATCAAGAAATTCTCTCAGCATTATTATATTAACAGATAAAAGGGGGGAAAAAAGGTTAGATCAGCAGATGCCGATTAGGCATTCGATAAAAAATACAGTAACCATTTCTAGTAAGAAGAAAAGAGAACTGCTTAAATATGTCAGACTACTTCTAAAAATCACTACCAAATATTATTCTAAACCATGAAACACTACAGTCATTTCATTTTAAACTCATAGCTAAGTAGGGATGCTCACACATTTAATACCATTTCTCTTTATTGTTCTTAGAGGTAATAAGACCAGTAAAGTGGAGGAATGGTATAAATATTGGAAGAGAAAGTTAACTCCCTTTTTTGCTAGTTATGTGATTTTGTACTTAACCAAACCCAAGAGACTTAGTTTAAAAAATTAATTAAGTCTATGGCCATGCCACCTTGAACAAGCCCAATCCCATCTGATCTCGGAAGCTAAGCAAGGTCGGGCCTGGTTAGTACTTGGATGGGAGACCACCTAGAAAGACCAGGTACTGTAGACGTAAAAAAAAAGTGGGGGGTATTGTAAGCTGACAAGGTACTTGCAATCTGTGAGATAGGCCGGTGGGGGCGCGGTATTGTAAGCTGACAAGGTACTTGCAATCTGTGAGATCAACCACGGGTTGCCTTGCCTAAAAAAAAAATTAAGATTCATAAAACGTTGGTAAGATAGCTGAATACAGCATAAACGATTATTAAAAGCAAAATTTTTCTTTATGCTTAAAACAATCACCTAAATATGGAAATGGGGAAAATGTTCCAAATAAAATAGTAACAAAAATGATAAAATTCCTAAGAACACATTTAACAAGAAAAGTAATTACTTATATGAAGAAAGTGATATAATCTTATTGAAAGAAATGCTGGTAGAACTGAACATACTATTTTCTTTGGTGGATAGACTATCATAAATGTGTCATTTTCCCAAAATTAATTAAATATATCTAAATTAAATATATCGAATGCATTAATGCAGAAATTAACATATCTAATTAATATATCTAATATATTCAGCTTGGATCCTAATATAGTTGTTTGTAGAATAGACAAATGATCTTAAAGTTCTTAGGGAAAAAGAAACATCCGAATAGCCAAAGTTTAATAATAAGAAAAAAAAAAAAAGCCTTGCCAAGTATCAGAATGTACCATAGAGTATGATCGGATCATTGTCATATTAATGGAATTGTTCAGTCAGAATAGATGATCCAGAAGTAGGTCTCACTTTATAGGAACATTTAATAAACAACAAAAGTATTTTTTAGTTCAATGAGAAGAGTATGAGAAAATGTAGAATTTCTCACAGTAAAAATACTATACACAAAATGAACAGACAAAATTTTAAAAATCTTTCAATTGATGTAAGAACAGTTAATATGTAATGCACAATGAGTTCTTATAAACTGACTAGAAAAAGACATGCAGTCTATCAGAAAACTTGGCAAAGGATGTGAATGAGCAATTCATGTATGAATTCAAATGACCAAGAAACATATGGGAAGCAACTCTCAGGCTCACTAGTAGTGAGTGAAATCAGATTCCACTGGTGTGGTTTGCCAAGGGATCATGGACTGCAGGAGGACGGGGGTGGTTCTATCTTAGGCAAAAAGGAGGTTCCTGTGGCTGTGGGGTTCCGTTTCCTGTTTTATGACCTTTTTTTATTTTCCAAAAGAATAGTGTTGACTTTTACAATTTTTAATGTCTTCAGCGATTTTTAATCTTTGTTAAATGTCATTCTTTTTATTGTTTCGTGTTTTATCTCTTTAAGTTAACTCTAGCAATATTATTATTGCTTATTAATTATTTGAGGATTATTTTCTGTGTAACTTATTTTTTCTTTTTTTGGACACTCCCTGGATGTGTCTTATTTAAAAGAGCGCTAGTTATGGCATTTTAATTGGAGTGGTTGGTGTTACCATTTGATGTTTCAAATAAAATTTTTCTCAAGATTGGTTAAAAAATAAATTCTCATTCTTTTAATATCTAGACTAAAAGAAATGAAATCTGAATGAACATTTTTCATGCAGAAGAGGTTAAGTCATGAATGCACAGTTTTGGTCTGCATCTCATAGTTTCCAGTTGCAAGTACAAACCCTTTTCTTTTGCTTACTCTTCTTTGAAATAATATACTTTACATAAAAGCTCATTGCAAGTTACCGTGGCCGTTTATGTTTGAGTACCATTTTCAAATAATAAACATACTCGTAAGCTCATTCAGCTCATTTTCATGACTTTAAAAGTAAAGTATAGTAGAATTATAACATAGGATATTGCCCCTATGGTGAGGTTTGTCGAACCCTGCAGAGGAGTTGGTGCAATCTAGGCAAGCATCTCTAGAAATAAACTGTTTCTAAATACTTTTTTTTGTAGCGCCTTTATTGTGACATAATTTACATAATAAAATTCACCCTTTTAAAGTATATCATTCATTGTTTTTTAGTTTATTCACAGAGTTGTGCAAGTATCACACTATCCAATTTTAGAACATTTTCCTCACTCCAGAAAGAAACCCTATTTGATATCTAAAGTTTATATCCTGAAATTTAGACTGAAAATCACCTCATATACCATAGAAGTAAAGAGCAACAATAAAAAAAAGTATTTTCTTGTTATATAAAATCTCGTCAATATTTTTAAGTTACTCCCTATGGCTTGGTAAATAAGCTTTATTTCATTTTGCTTTGTTTCTTCTGTTTATTTTTTCTCCCCGGGATTAGGGAGCTGATTATTTTTGTTTTTGTGTGGGTGGGAGTGATGGTTCTGGGAAGTTCTCTGATGGTCATGTCATAGTCATTTTAAGCCCATGCTGTTCGTTTGCAGGGCGCTAGCTGATATGAATAATGATGGAAGAATGGATCAAGTGGAGTTTTCCATAGCTATGAAACTTATCAAACTGAAACTTCAAGGATATCAGCTCCCCCCCGCACTTCCCCCTGTCATGAAACAGCAACCTGTTGCTATTTCTAGCACGCCAGCGTTTGGTAAGTTTGAGAAGGAATTGGTTTCTATATTTCATTGTATATTTTAAAAATAAATGTTTCCCCTTTTTCCCTTTTCTGTTTCAAGCATTGTGAAATTCTGGGATGTAATTCATCTGAAAAAATGATGGCCCTAGGCAGGAAGATGGCGCAGAAGGAGAAGGAACATGGTCACATTCTAATCCGGGATGAGAGTGACCGAAATGAGAGCAGGGCACAGGTTGTCCGCGTCAAAGGAACACACTTGCGCTCTGCTGCTGTGTCTTCTTTTTCTTGCTCTTATTGGGTTCTTGACCCTCACACTGTCACATACTTCCTTCGGTCTCTGTTTCCATAACATCTTTATTTTCCTTATGTGTGAACCACCCCTTTGGATGGTGGTATCTCAAAATATAGTTTTAAATTCACAGTATTGAGGGAATTTGCCACATTAAGATCTTTCTTAAAACAAAATGAAGCAGGAAAAAATAAACATTTTATCCCAATTAAAAACATGAATCCATTAAAAAACGATCTTTTAGCCAGATATTTTTCTTAAAAATGAATCAGTAATTAGTTGACCAAGACCCCTAACTGTTCTGATTTCTCCTCAGTTCCCACCCTAGACTTTGATTATTTAGATTGATTTAAAGATTACAGTGATATTCTATGGCCATGCCACCCTGAACAAGCCCAATCCCACCTGATCTCGGAAGCTAAGCAGGGTCGGGCCTGGTTAGTACTTGGATGGGAGACCACCTAGAAAGACCAGGTGCTGTAGGAGTAAAAAAATAATAATAATAAGGGATTGTAAGCTGACAAGGTCCTTGTAATCTGTGAGGTCAACCAAGGGTTGCCTCGCCTATAAGAAAAAACAAAAAAAAGATTATGATGATTAAATGTAACACCTGATTCATGGGGACATGCTTAGTTTAAACAAAACACAGCAATTGTGGATATAGTTTTTTTTTTTTTTTATCTCTTCTTCCTGATATCTGATATATCTGCCTTCAGGTAATGAAATAGATTTGGGAGGGGTCAGTCAATAGTAATTCAGGTTGTCTCTGGTACATTTAGTAATAAACTGAGATAAATAAATGCTGTGGTTATATTTCATAGATTTACTATTTAAAACAGGCAAACTCTGCATTGCTTTTCTTTTGGTGAGGTTTAGACTGGTTTTAAGGGGAAAGGTGCAGATTTTGGATTAAGCAAGTAGGATAGTCATCCAAGAGAAGAAGGAAGAACTCAAAAAGTCCTTTGTGGGCAAAGGGCGGGACGAACGGAAGTGAGCAGCACATTAGGCTCCGAGTGAGCAGGATCCTTGTCCATCACGTGTTCACTGTACCTAGCCCTTAGTTCACCAGGGCCCAGAGTGAAAGAAGAAATGCTGTGTGCAAACACACTGAAGGAAGAGGGTGCCAGGCGCACTCATAGCATTTGTGGGAATACAGCTGGGTAGCCTGAGGCAAGTCACAATATCACCACATTCCATTTTCCTCCCCCATTTTTGTCCTAGAGAGGGAAATCTCAGTGATTGAGAGATAGGGGAACCTGCAAGAATTAACATAGTCAAGAGGGACGGCTTCCAAAACAGCCTCAGGTAGATGTATTTATTTAGAAATATACTGAAAATATTCAGAAAAGGTAGTCAATTGGCAATTAAAATTTTTTTTTAAATTTTTTATTTATTTTAAGTGGGAGTTGCTCTGAATCTCCGAAGGTCCCCATAGCCAGTGTTTGGCCAGGATCCACGTGTTAAAACAGCTCGTGGTGGGTTTGCTTTCAGTTTGGCCTCCCTTCTGGTGCTGCAAGAAGAAACCCGGAGTGGGGAAAGGCTCAAGGACCAGAGGCACCCCACTTCCTCTTTTCTCTCAATCCCGAGTGTCAGTTATTCTTCTAACATTTACTACGTCTTCTCTTATTCCATCCTGCTGTAGGAATTTCAGCTCGAGAGATAGTGCTGAGTTATTTTCAGGCGCTGTGTCCTCACTGCCCAGAGGGTTTTCCAGTCACTTACATAACCTGCCACCGCCTCTGTGGAAGCCTGGGATTTCTGATCTGATAGCCTGCCAGTCAGTCCTTAGCTCTTTCCCCGGGCTCCTCCACTGCCTTTCCCCTAGTTCTCATCACATCAACATTCTCAGTAAACTGTTTTCAAGAGGCTAAATCACGAGGAAACATCAGAACATAAGAGAAGTTAAAAGTACACGGTCCTGATCAAGTTTGCCCAGGTGTTTTCCAAGATCTGCCCTTTGCTAGTATTTCTAGTTCCACGTCTCAGCCCAACCCAGGGTAATTTTTTTTTTCTTCCACTTTTGACTATTTGGGACCAAAGTAATTTATTACTATTATCATTATTTTCAAATTAATATTAAAAATTATTTGACCAGGTGTTGCCCAGCCCTTACACAGTCGCCGTCACACGTAGCATTTTGTTTGGTCACGGCAGTAGCCCTAGAGGTGCGCAGGAGTGACATGGATGAGGACTGCGACCCCAGGGAGGCGGACAATTCGCTCGAGATCGCATTCCTACAGAGGGAGGTAGAGCTTGTCCAAACAGTTTTCCTAAAGCTCTCAGTTTCCTTCATTCCTTCTCGCTCCCCACCTTCATTATCACCAAACGATCTGGGTGACGTAGGGCCTCCCTCTTCAAGGGTTCGACGTCTGCGTGTGTCAGTGCAAGTGTTAACAACACACGGAAGATGAGCAATCATTTCATTCAACTCCCCTATGTTAAGAAGAGGGAAATGGGGTGCGGTGATATTATGACTTGCCTCAGGCGACCCAGCTGTATTCCAGCAAATGCTTCGAGTATGCCTGGCAGCTTCTTCCTTATGTGTGTTTACGCACCCAGCATAATTCTTCTTTTACTCTGGACCCAAGTATTTCAAGAGAAGTTCGTTTGTCCTTTGTTTGATTAAAAAATGTTTATCTGTTTTTGGCTAGAGTCCATGGTTTTATTGGAGTAAACCGATATGTTTAGCCCCTACTATGTGTCTTCATTGCTAGGAACATGGTGGTGAGCAAGACATCATGGCTTCTGTGAAGCTTCTTGTCAAGTTGGGGGAAACAAGCAGATAAACAAGGTAATAAGATAGAAAGAGACTAGTAGGTCAGGGTGGTCCGAATTCTCTGAGTAGGTGACTTTTGAGCGGACTTAGAGATAGGGCCATGTGAAGACCTGGGGGAGAAGCCCTCCAGGCAAAAAGAGCAGCAATTTCAAAGGTCTTAAGGCAAAAACAAGCTTGGCGTGGAAACCAAAAGCGAGAGCATTGTTGCTGAAGTATCAGTAAGGCTTAAAGTCTGCGAGATAAGGCAGGAGCCAGATGGTTTAGGGCCCGATAGAGCCACTAAGGAGAATTTCTTTTTCTAAGTGAATTTGAAAGCTACAGCAAGCTTTTAAGCCAGGGGAGTGACATGGTTACTAGACATTCAGAAAAAGCAATCTGTTATCTGCAGACTGGATTGCTGTAGGACAAGAGAAGAACTCCAGAAATCAATAAGGAGGCGTTCGCCATGGGCAAGAGATAATGGTGATGTAGTTCTCTGGGTGGTGAAAACAGGAGTGGAAGATAGAAGAGGAATCGATTCATTATATTTTGGAGGAAAAGTCAGTCCCGTTTGGGCCATGTTAAGCTCGAGGTGCCTGCTAGATTTCCAGGAGGAGATGCTGAGGAGGCAAATGAATCCACGTGTCTAGAACTCAGAGGAGGGATCTCCCAGCTCCAGGAGGGTTTGAGTATGGATGGCATCGCACGCGCTGGGGCTGGAGAGGACAGCTCACAGAGAAGGTGGAGGCAGAAGACTTAGGACAGAGCCTTGGAATGCCGTGATAGGTAAAGGTCAGGTAAAATGCTGGTGTCCTCGTAGCTGAGAAAAGTGTTTCAAAAAGGAGGGAGTGCGCCATTGTTTGAGTTGCTTCTGAAAGGGTGAGTACAAATAGGACAGAAAAGTGAGTGGATTTGACAAGACGAGTTCGTGGAAGACCTTGACAAGCAGTTTCATTGGAGTTGGAGGGACAAAACCTGGCTGTGGGGTTGGAAGAGAGGGGGATTTAACTGGAAAGGGGAGGCCAAGCTGGAGGAGCGCGTCGGTGGGAGGGTGGTGAGTTTACTACGGGAAGTGTGCCCACATTTTTAGAGTAGAGAGAGGAAGCTCAGTGACTGAGGAGAGATGGGACATTTTTAAGGATTAGCGAAGTCAAGAGTAATGGCTTCCAAAGCACAAAATAGTTATTTAGAAATATGCAGAAAATACTCATTCAAGAAAGGTAGTCGGCTGGTAAAAGGACATATGGTCTTTGCAGTGGATATTTAAAAGCTGAATAGGTCACTTAAAGTGGAAAAATTATAATGTTAGAGAAGAATTATTGTGCCTGGGATAATAAGACCTGAAAGAACTGGAATAGTTTGGTTGCTACGAATTCATAAAGCTGACCCAACAAGGCTTCCTTTGGGGACAGGGCCCCACATGGAGGAGAAATGACGGGGAGCAGAATCAGAACTGAGCAGGGCAGAGACACAGAAAGTCAGGGAGGAGGACAGAGGCTGGAAATCCCTGGCAGCAAGCCTCACGTAAAAATGAGCGACGGGCAGTATCTGTCAAGGTCAACTCTCACATAAAGTTATTATTAGAAAAAAGAAAATAAAGAACCAAGTAACACCCCTATGCCCAGTGACAGCACATCAGTAACCCACTGTTTCAAAACAAGTTAAAAAATACTAAGAAAAGGATACAAGTCATGAAAGACCAACATAAATCAGAATTTTAAAACTTCAGAAATA